TGCTGCTGAGAGGCCGGACATAATGAGAAGGGAGAGCAGCAACCTGGCCTGCTGCCCAGCTGGGAGCAGATAAGTTCACCTAAAAAGGACTTGATGCTCCAAATACCAAACTGAAAAAGGAAATGGAAGTGGGGGGGAAGGGAAATCGGAACATATCTATAGATACAGGCTTGGAGAAAGTAAATCCATCTTCTTCTCATCATCTTCACCATCCATAACCTCAGAACATTAAGGTGGAGAAAAGGCAAACTGCAAAGAAAGCAAAGCAATGGAGAAGACTTCCTGGGACAAAGTTAGGAAGCACAGGCTAGGGATGGCGGGTCTAGATCATCCACTGTAAGCCAGGTAAAAAGGCTGCATGGAGAGCTGTGCTCTTGTAACTCTCCAATTATGAATGTATAGTCCTATGAAGCACTCTTCCACTGACCATGTTCTCTCAGGGAATCTTTCCTCTTATTCTCACCCTTCCTCCATATACCCTGTTCTCTAACTGTGCAGAACTATACAATCCTCTCTAAACACACGGCACTGTGAAGCTGTTGTACTCCTGAAACATGTGTGCCGATCCCCTACCTGGAATGCCCTTTCCCTGTTCATCCACATAGAAAACTCCCAAGGTTTTTTCATGGATTAGGTCGAATGGGAGGAACCTATTCTGTGGTCCTATCAACATGGTCACTCTCTCTATATATATCTTTCTGTTGTTCCTTATCACAAAAAAATGCTGAGAGTACAATCTAAGACCAGGAGAAATGAATTTGAATCTTGCTTATACAACTTACTAGCCATGCAATATGATTTCTGGCAATCCTAGCCCCTAGAACTCAAATCCTTTGTCTCAAGTAAAATAATTTATAAGGAAACATGTTCCTTGTAGAGTCCAATATCAACATGCTCGCATATAAGAAGGGGGAGTCGTCTATGCACCATTCCCAGTGGAAAATGGAAGAAACGAGGACAATAAGCTTGCACACAGCTGTGCACACAAACATGGACAAAGGGCTGGAGACGTGGAGGGAAGGGAGGGAGAGAAGGGGCGAGTGACTGAGATCACAACCTCCAGCCCTTTTTTAGTTGACACTAATCCACTCATGAAGGTGGTGTCTTCATGATCTAAATGCTTCTTGTTGGGGCCCACATCCCCACACTGTGCCCTGGAGATTCATTTCCAACATATGATTTGGAAGAGACACAATCAAACAACAGCACTCTTGTATAATCCTCCCCACATTATATCCATGTGACCAAAAGAAATGCACAGCACTTGGCATCCAGTTATAACAGATATCGTATCTGCCATCTTGGGCTCTACACTCCGTTCTCTATTGGACTACGTACTCTGAGGAAAGCTAACTGCCATATCAAACAACCTAGAAAGAGATCCAGGTGAAGGACTGAGGCTTGTACCAGCAAGATGGCTCAGCAAGTAAAAATGCCTGCCACCAAGCCTGAGATACTAAGTTTGATGCCCCAGGATCCACATGGTACAAAGAATTAAATGCCACAAACTGCTGACCTACCCATGTACACGCCTACACACCTACACACCTACACACACACACACACACACACACAGACACACACACCTACACAGGCACAAAAAAACATAACAAAAAAATCAGGCTGGAGAGATGGCTCAGAGGTTAAGAGCACTGGTTGCTCTTCCAGAGGTCCTGAGATCAAGTCCCAGCAACCACATGGTGGCTCACAACCATCTGTAACGGAATATGATGTCCTCTTCTGGCCTGCAGTCATTCATATATGCAGGCAGAATGTTGTATACATAATAAATAAATAAATCTTTAAAAAAAAAAAAAAGAAGTCGAGGCCAGCCTGATCTACAGAGTGAGTTCCAGGACAGCCAGAACTACACAGAGAAACCCTGTCTTGAAAAACAAAAAAAACAAAACAAAACAAAAAAAAAGTCAAGCCTTACCAATAACTCTTTAAGTGAGCATGAAAGCAAGTTCTCCACCCCAGAATGTCACTGGCCTTCAGCCCCAACTGACACTTTTTTTCCCACAGCCTTCTGAGGCAAATTGACACGCCTAGGCTATACAGCAAGTTCCAGCCCAGGGCAGCTTCAGTAGGTAGAGTGCCTGCCTAGCACAAAGACCTAGGTTCATCCCTAGCACGACCTAAAACCAAGCCTATTAGCATATGCAATCCCAATATTCTGTAAATGGAAGCAAAAGGATCAGAAAGAAGCAGAGGGCCATCCTTAGCTCCATAGCAAATGCCAACCTATGATACATGAGAATCAGTCTAAAATAAATAAATTATAGACACATGAGAGGTCTTATGTTAAAATTATCCAGTTGAACTTTTCATAGATTGCTAAACCACAGAAAATATAAAATTTTGAAAATTCATCTTAACTACTAGGTTCTGGAGTACTCTGGTGCACTAATAGCTAATACATTTATGAAAGACAGTGACAGACAAACATTTACAAGAGAGAATTTTGGAGCTAGGTTGGGTGGCACACAACTTTAATCCTAGTACTCAGGAGGGCAGAGACAGATGCAGTTCTGAGTTTGAGATTAGCCTGGTCTACAGAGGGATTTCCAAGACAGCCTGGGCTACACAAAAGAAAAAATAAAACAAGTGTTTGGTCTAGCATGACGGAGAATACCTGTAATCGCAGAACTTGGAATACAGAAACAGAAGGACCACCATGCCTAGTTTATACATAGTATTTTTTTTTTTTTTTGGTTTTTTGAGACAGGGTTTCTCTGTGTAGCCCTGGCTGTCCTGGAACTCACTCTGTAGACCAGGCTGGCCTCGAACTCAGAAATCCGTCTGCCTCTGCCTCCCAAGTGCTGGGATTAAAGGTGTGCGCCTCCACAGCCCAGCATAAATAGAATATTTTAAAATTAGAATATACCCAGGGGTGGTGATAGACATCTGTAATCCTAGTACTTAAATGCTGAAGCAGAAGGATCATGAGTTAGAAGGTAGCCTGGTTTACATAGAAGTTCCAGGTTAGCTTGAGCTAAACAGCAAGACTCTGTCTTAACACAGCAGCACAAATTAATAATAATTTAAAAAACATATAGTAGGGGGCTGGAAAGATAGCTCAGAGGAGAAAATCATTTGTCACCAAGCCTGACAACTGAGTTCAATCCCAGGGCCCTTCATGGTAAAAACTCATGCACATAAATAATAATAATAATAATAAACAGAGTTGGGAAATGGTAGTCCATGTCTTTAATCCCAGCACTTGGGAGGCAGAGGCAGTTGTATCTCTGTGTGTTCAAAGCCAGCCTGAGCTACATAGTGAGTTCAAGGACAGCCACCACTACATAGTAAAACACTGTCAAAGAAAGAAAGGAAGGAAGGAAGGAAGGAAGGAAGGAAGGAAGGAAGGAAGGAAGGGAGAGAGATTGAGGGAGGGAGGGAGGGGAAAGGGAGGGGAGAGGAGGGGAAGGGAGGGGAGGAAAGGAAGGAAGGAAAAGAAAAGAAGGAAGGACAGAAAGGAAAAATTAAATTTAAAAACAATGAAGGAGAAATGAAAAGAAGGAAAGGGAGTCAGAAAGTCTATACCAAAAATATATTTAATCCCTAAGGTACTGGTTGGTGTTCACAGATTCCATCTAAAATAAGCCAAAATTCATCTGCTAAGTTTTATAAAAAGTAGTTTCATTGGCCTTTGAGTTAAAATCAAGCATCAGACTTCTAAACCCAAAAAGTATGGCAAACTATAACTTACTAATCCAAAAGTAAAATTTAATATTATTACACTAGACCCAGGAAACCATGACTTAGTCTGTAAGCAACCTGAAATCTGGTGGTCTGCTCGGTGTAAAGTCCTGGACACGTCTACATCCTTAAACACTGGAATAAAGTATGCCAAGTTAGCTCACCAATGGTACTCTCAGAAGGAAACATGAAGGCATTCCTTCTGTTGTCAGACTCTGTGTGTGTGTGTGTGTGTCTGTGTGTGTGTGTGTCTGTGTGTGTGTGTGTGTCTGTGTGTGTGTGTGTCTGTGTGTGTGTGTGTCTGTGTCTGTGTGTCTGTGTCTGTGTGTGTGTCTGTGTGTGTGTGTAAACAAAGTCTCTAATAACTCAGCTTCACCTTAAAATCTTGAAATTGCCATGCACCTTGAACTTGTACTCATCCTTTCTCCATCCCCTAGTGCTGGGGTAACAGGCCTGTCCCAATACGCCCATCCTGAGCTGCTTCTGAAGAAAGAAAAACATACATATCTAGACTGACACTACTGTGGTACAGCCGTTCAAGAGTGTTGAAAGAATGCAAAAGCAGCAGGGAGTATAGGAAATTAAATGGCCTACCTGAGCCCCATGAAATTATGATGACTTTCAGTAGCCTCTCATGTCCTCATGTAAATAACTGTGGTGGATAAGCACACCTCCTTAGGGTTTAGCATGGCCATTGGACACATAAGCCTACCTAATAAGGGTGTGGGATATCAAGACAGTATAGGCTAAGAACAGATCAAAAAGTCTTTTTTGACCTCTACCTACCCTCTAAATATTTATGACTGCTTTGATGTTAGCACAGAGAAAATAAGATGGTATGCCAGTTTTACGTATCTTTAGAATGCAATAGCCTCCAGAGATCTGCTTCAAGGAATCTACCCAGATCTCCATGCAGTTAGCTTAAAGGTGACAATGAAGAGATACATAAAACCCAAACTGTAGCTTGTACTTTCCATCTTCCAAATCAAAACAAAGCAACAAACATATTTCTTGGTATTTCTTCACACACAAATGTTTCCTTCCTTTTTTAGGTATATGTGGGTTCCCACAAAGGCTAGAGCTGTCAGACACCCTGGAACCTTACAGGCTATGTGACCTGCAGACCGTGGGTGCCGGACCCTGAACTCTGGTCCTCTGGGAGGGCAGTATGCACTCTTAACCACTGAACCATCTCTCCACCCAATGACTTTTTCTTGAAGTAAACACAGAGCATACATTTTCTATCACTTGATTTTTTATAATAAATCTCTACATATGAAATGAACCACGGTACTTACACATAGAGATCCATAGGGAATTCCTTCATCATGTGTGTCACAATGAACTCCACCATCAGGTCTAAAAGGAAAGAAGAGAAAAAATGTATCAATCACAACAAAATTTATTCCTTAGGGGAAAAAAGCTTCTCAAAATGTGTGTCTTGTACTCACACTGAGTAACGTCTCCTGCTAACATCTCTCAGCATGAACTTAACTTATTTTCTATGCCACTTTTTAAACGCTTCCCACTTAGAAATTAACAAACAAACTGCTTCAGGCACTATTAAGTTTCAGTAAAATTGTTCACTCTCTTATAAGTTAGTGAGATAAAGATCTTACTGTCCTATGTCTAGAAGAACCTGCCAATAAATTTAGAATCAAGGGAGGGGCTGAAGAGATGGCTCCAAGAACTGAGGACCCCAGTTCAATTCCCAGCACCCACATGGCAGCTCGCAACTGTCTGTAAGTCTAGTTCCAGAGGATCTGCCAACCTCACCCAGACATACATGAAGGCAAAACACCAAAGCACATGAAACAAAAATAAACAAATCATTTAAAAAAGAAAAAATGTAGACACAAGGGAAATTTCATTGTTCGCATATCTCATACCACACATAAGACAACATGCCTAAGGGAAATCTGAGGCTAGAGAATTGAAGCAAGCAGGGATGAAAGTATTTGGAACCCAGTCACACAAGCAGAGGCTCGGCGCTAAGGCTGCCAGTCTATCCCAGGTCACTGTCATGCTGACTGGCACATACTGCCTGAAATGGGCTGTGGAGCTTTGGGTCAACAGAGGCTGACTATATACACAGTCTTAATTACAGTTTCTAAGATCAGACAGATTCAGTAACTGAGGTGGACTACCCAAGTGAAAATGAGATCAAGAGCCTCTCTAACAGTCAGGCGGTGATGCATGCAAGGCGGAGGCAGCTAGATCTCTAAGAATCTGAGGACAGCCCCGTCTACAGGGCAAGTTCCAGGACAGCCAAAGCTACAGAGACCCTGTCTCAAAAAAAGAAAAAAAGAAAAGTGTCACTCACTTCTCTGCGGAAAATAGATTTCTGAACAAAGAGAATGTCACAAGACCCTACCTACCTGTTCTGTCAGTCCCATCTCAACTTACTCAAGAGAAGTTTTCCATGTTTGAATCTCAAATGTAAACTTCTGACCTTTGACACACCAGTACAGACCATGAAAGGGAAGTAA